AATTTCTGCCCCCCCACCTTCTCGACTCGCACAAAAAGAACCCGAAGGGGGAGACTCTCTGCATCAACATAAATGTTCACTGCATGTATCCAGCCCAGGGGCCGTAGTTTGAGGACCCCTGATTTAGTGCAATATAAAAAAATGCAAATAATTTTTCTGCGGACCCCCAAAATTTTCTCGTGGACCAATTGTGGTCCACGGATCACCAGTTGGTGACTGCTGGCCTAAAACTAAAAAAATCAAGTCTCCTTCTTCATTCAGCCAGGATACCGTAACAATCTACCAGCTAGAGCCTACTTCATTAGACTGTTGAGAGGACAAATCTTGCCTGCCATCCTGAGGCCTTTGAAGAAAAGATGAAACATAAACGTACTGCAAAAAAAAAAAAGAAGATATTTACTCTACTTATGCACAAATTACCTGATGGAGTTATTCTTAACTCGCAGGCAGCCTGTGAGGTCCAAATGCTCCAGATCAGAACAGGCTTTGGCAACTTCTTCTACAGCCGTATCGCCAACATTTGCATTAACAGCCAGCGAAAGGGATTTTAATTTGTGGCATCTTTGAGCGAGGTAGGAAATGGCCTCGTCTTTCAGCTGCCGGCAGGCTGTGAGATCCAGAGATTCAAGCTCTTTGCAGTGGTCAGCGAGACTCCGCAAGGAAAGTCCATCCACCCATTCGCAATGGGCCAAAGAAAGTTGCCGTAAGTTGGGGCAGCCCAAAGAGATGGCCACCAAAGCGTGGCGGCTCAGCTGTAGGCAGCCGTTCAATTCAATCTGTTGCAACTGGTGGTTTTGACCAATCACAGGAAGCAGTTCCTTGTCGGATAACCAATCAGAGCAGTTTTGCAAGGCTAGTTGCTGCAGCACTTTATTGTCTTTTAATAGGACACAGAATGCAGGTTTTGGGATATGAGGCCCAACCTAATTATAGGCAAGAAAACAAACCGTTATATCCTGTACTATATGCCTTTTGAAGTCTTACAGTAGTGGCCAAAATTGTGGAAACCTTTTGGGAAAAGTGCATTTTCTAAAACTAGCTAATAATATCACATTTTTTGGAGTAATGCTATAAAACATCAATGGAAAGATAATTTAATCAAGAATGTAATGCAGTAACTTTTATGAAGGATTTGCTATTAGAATAGCAGTTATAAAGAAGAAAAGTGAAATGAGATATACAAAAAGTATCACCATAGAAAAAAACGAGATATACAAAAATTATCACCATAGAAAAAAACGAGATATACAAAAATTATCACCACGTCAGTTAATTCTTAGTTGGGTAACCTTTAGCATGAATTATGGCTTACCATGACTTCCCATGGAGTGAACCAAGTCTTTTAGCTCTGCAGCTGTTATAACGTGAAACCAAGATTGAATGGTTGCTTCTATTAACTGGGTTTTNATTTGAATTGTGAGCCGCCCTGAGTCCCCTTCGGGGGAAAAGGGTGGCATATAAATATAATCAAATCAAATCAAATCAGATAAAACCTCTGTTTTGCTGGCAGAAAAAGACAAATTTAATCCCCTCCCAGCACGGGGGGAACAGATGAAGTTGGAGGAAAAATCCCACCAAGAGGCAAAGTTTCAGAATAGGCTCAAATTCTCAGCCGATGGAAAGGATTTCAGGCTGTCCCTGACTTACGACTGTTCATTTAGTGACCAAAGTTGCAACCGCACTGAAAAAAGGGGCAGTTTTTCACACTTAACGACCATTACAGCATCCTCGTAGACATGTGATTCACATTCCGGTGCTTGGCCGCTGGCTCGTACTTGTGACGGTTGCAAGGACCTGATGCCACGCGATCCCCATTTTGCGACCGTCTGGGTGAGGGAAGTCAACGGGAAGCTGGATTCGCTTAAGGACTGTGTGACTGATTTAACAACCTGCGGTGATTCGCTTAGCGCCTGCGGCAAAGGAAAATAGCAAAACGGGGCAAGGCTTCCTTAATGGCTGTCTGGCTTAGCCACAGGAATTTGGGGCTTGATTGTGGTCGTTAAGCTGAGGACTACCCGTAGAGTGAAGGGAGGAAGGCAGAGGAGATTCGGGTTAGCGTTTCCCGACTGCACTCTGCGCTTGAAAAGCAATAAAATAATATTCTGATGGTTTTTTGGCTTTCCTCTCTCAGGAAAATCAAAATCACCGACTTGCATAGAGATTTTTTTTGCATATCATGGGGTTTTTTCCCCTGCTGCAAAATTCTGCATCTTGCCGGCTTCACTTCGGTCTTTGCAGGGAAGTTTTTTTTGCCATGAGGTCTAGCGACTTGGCTGTTTCTGTCTTTCCGGGTAGGCCTCGACTTACAACAGTTCGTTTCGTGACAGTTCCATATTACAACACCACCAGAAAAAAAGAGACCGATGACCATTTTTCACACTTACGACCGGTCTAGCATCCCCGTGGTCATGTGACCAGAATTCAGATGCTTAGCAACTGACTCATATTTATGACGGTGGTAGAGTCCCCGGGGGGAGTGAGTCATGTGATCCCCTTTTGCGGCCTTCGGACAAGCAATGGGGAAGCCGGATTCCCTTAATAACCCTGTTACTAACTGAACAACGGCAGTGATTCACTTAACAACTCCGGCAAGAAACAACTATGTAAAATGGAGCAAAATTCACTTAACAAATGTGTGACTTAGCGACAGAAATTTGGGGCTCAATTGGGTTGTAAGTTGAGGGCTACTTATATATTTTCGTTTGTTTGGAGGTTTCGAATGGCTCTTGCATCTATTCTGTCCTTCCTTCCTTCTTCCCTTCCTTCCTTCTTCCCTTCCTTCCTTTCCCTTCCTTCCTTCCTTCCATTCTCTCTTCCTTCCTCCCTCTCTCCCTTTTCTTTCTTTTTCATTTTTTCCTCCCTCCCTCCCTCCCTTCCATCCATTCTCCCTCCCTTTTTCTTTCTTTTTTCATTTTTTCCTTCCTTCTTTTGTCTTTCCCTTCCTTCCTCCCTCCCTCCCACCTCCCCTCCTTCCTTCCTTTCCCTTCCTTTTTTTCTTTCTCTCTTTATTTCTTTTCCTTCCTTCCACCCTCCTTTCTTCCTCCCTTCCTCCTTTCTTGATCTTTCTTTCTTTCTCATTATTTTCCTTCCTTCCTTCTTTCTTTTTTCTTTCTCTTCCTAACCTTCCTTCCTTTCTTCCATTCCCTCTTCCTTCCTTCCTCTCCCCCTTTTCTTTCTTTTTCATTTTTCCTCCCTCCCTTCCATCCATTCTCCCTCCCCTTTTCTTTCTTTTTTCATTTTTTCCTTTCTTCTTTTTTTGTCTTTACCTTCCTTCCTTCCTCCCTCCTGCCCGCCCGCCCTCCTTTGTTCCTTCCTTTCCCTTCCTTCTTTTTTTCTTTTTTCTTTCCTTTCCTTCCTTCCACCCTCCTTTCTTCCTCCCTTCCTCCCTTCCTCCTTTCTTTATCTTTCTTTATCTTTCTTTTCCTTCCTTCCTTCTTTCTGTTTTTCTTTCTTACTCTTCCTCCCTCTTCCCTCCTTCCTTCTTTCTCTTTCTTTCCCTTCCTTCCTTCTTTCCTTTCTTCTTTCTTTTCCTTTCCCTCTCTCCCTCCCTCCTGCTTTCTTTTAAGCCTCCCTTTCAAAAGAACTAAAGGCGGTGAAGGGTTTATCAATTTAAAACCGGCTGTGATTCCCTTAAGAACTATGGCAAGAGAGGTCGTAACACGGGGCAAACCCCACTTAAACAATGTCTCACTTGACAACCGAAATGCTTGGGCTCGATTGTGGTCGTACGTTGAGGACTGCCTGTGCTTCATCCGGATTTTGAAACCCCGTGCCCGATTTTCCCAGGGTCTGCAATGTGTGCGTGCCTGCATGCCCGAGGTTATCTTGCAAAAATCAACCCAGGAATTCCCTAAAACCCCTTTTCCAGCTCAGAGCTCCGTCTCCCCCAAAGGGTCGCCTTTAAGCCCACGAAGCTCGCCCTGCAAAACTTTTGACGCCATCCGAGGCTCTTTCTGCCCTTAACACCTGCCTTCTGTTTAACTTTGGCACCGGCGGAGTCTCCAGGCGCTCCGGCTGGAAATCTTTTCTCTTATTAACCGCAGCAATAAATTTCTTGCCGGAGGCCAAAGATTTGACAAGCTGTTTGGAAATCCGCACGAGATTCTCAACCTTTTATGCGCGGTGCCTGGCTCCTGACCAGCCCCCTTTCCATTTCCCACCCCCCGCTAAAAATGAATCTTTCTGCAGAATGCCACACCCAGCAAAGGGAAACTTCGGGGTGTCCCTCCCCCCCCCCCCCGTTTGCAAAAGCAGGGTGCCAAAGATGTGGGTGAAGTTAAGGTCTTCTTGCTTGCTTTGAGCTACCAAAAGGAAATGAGAGACTTCGCAGCTGGGGCTGGACTCCCCCTTCCATCGTTCCCGGCTGGATGGGATGGGGTCAGAGGTCTTAATGCACCACCCCCTTTTGTCTGAACTGGGGAAGAGAGAGATGGTCTCATCATCATCCCCTCGATTAAAAAAACAACAACAGTTTTTGTGCTTGAAATCATCGGCTGTTTTTCAGACTGCAAAACAGGGCGTCTGATTTCTCATTCAAAAACTCCCACGTGGAAACAGCAGGTCCAAAGGCTTCAAACTTCCAGATGGGGAGGGGAGGGGGACTTCCGCTCCCAGAATTCCTCACCCAGGGTGGTCTTGGCAGAGAATTCTGGGAGTGGAAGTCCACGCCCATCTGGAAGCAGCCAGATTTGGCAACGCCCTACGAAGTCCTTCCAACCTAGGCTGCAATTACGTCAAATCAAGATTATGTCAAGCAGAGGTGGGTTTCTACTGGTTCGTACTGGTTTGGGTGAACTGGGAGTGGTATGATTTGGCCTGGAGCGCAGAACCGGCAGCAATCGAGGCTGGCCATGCCCCTGAACCGGTTCCTCCAGTCTTTGCTGCCATCGTTGGCATTTTTTTTTTGAGGTTTTCATGGTCTTTGCGCATGTGCAGAACAATTTACACTAAACTGCGCGCATAGCATGCGTGAAGTGAATTGGTACGAGCGCAGATAGGACCCCACCCCTGATGTGGAGGGTTAGTACCGCTTTCTAAGGCCTTGGTAAGACCATATTTTTGGAAGACACGCGGTGGCTCGGTGGCTAAGATGCTGAGCTTGTCGATCAGAAAGATCGGCAGTTCAGCGGTTCGAATCCCTAGCACCACGTAACGGAGTGAGCTCCCGTTATTTGTCCCAGCTTCTGCCAACCTAGCAGTTCGAAAGCACATGAAAAATGCAATTAGAAAAATAGGGACCACCTTTGGTGGGAAGGGAACAGTGTTCCGTGTGCCTTTGGCATTGAGTCATGCCGGCCACATGACCACGGAGACATCTTCGGACAGTGCTGGCTCTTTGGCTTTGAAACAGAGATGAACATCGCCCCCTAGAGTCGGGAACAACGCATACATATGAGGGGAACCTTTACCTTTAAGATTTGGAATCCTGCATCCAATTTTTGGTTGCCACGATGTTGAGACTCTGGAAATTGTGCAGAGAAGAGCAACAGAGACGATTAGGGGACAGGAGGCTAAAATATATGAAGAAGGATTGCAGGAACTGGGCATGGCTACTTTGATGAAAAGAAGGATTGGGGGGGAGACATGTTTTGCAGTATTTGAGGGGTTCGGGAGCAGCTGCTGGAGCAAAAATCTGGCAATTGTGTTTGGTCTGATAGATTTTGAAGGTGGAAGAGAGGAAGGTGGCAGGAAGCAGCAGGTTAAATGTTTTCCGTTCCAGCTTTTGATCACAGTCAGCAGGCCTTTTGCTGATAATAAGTTCCCCTTCCCTGAGCTCCTTCTCTGGCGCTGGTGGAGGCCTGTTTACACCTGGAAAACATCTGCCCAGCTTTGATGGCAAAAAAAATGCCGGTTTATGTCACTGTTTTTCAAATTCAGTAACTTTAAGATGGGTGGACTTCACCTCCCAGAATTCCCCAGTTGGTATGCTTTAAGATAATAGGACTTCAACTCCCAGAATTCCCCAGCCAACATGCCTTAAGATGGGTGGACTTCAACTCCCAGAATTCCCCAGCCACCATGCTTTAAGATGGGTGGACTTCCATTCCCAGAATTCCCCAGCCAGCATGCTTTAAGATGGGTGGACTTCAACTCCCAGAATTCTCCAGCCAGCACCCTTTAAGATGGGTGGACTTCAACTCCCAGAATTCTCTAGCCAGCACCCTTTAAGATGGGTGGACTTCAACTCCCAGAATTCTCCAGCCAGCATGCTTTAAGATGGGTGGACTTCCATTCCCAGAATTCCCCAGCCAGCAGGCTTTAAGATAATATGACTTCCACTCCCAGAATTCCTCAGCCGGCATGCTTTAAGATAATATGACTTCCACTCCCAGAATTCTCCAGCCAGCATGCTTTAAGATGGGTGGACTTCCACTCCCAGAATTCCCCAGCCGGCATGCTTTAAGATAATATGACTTCCACTCCCAGAATTCCTCAGCCGGCATGTTTTAAGATGGGTGGACTTCAATTCCCAGAATTCCCCAGCCAGCACCCTTTAAGATGGGTGGACTTCCACTCCCAGAATTCCCCAGCCAGCATCCTTTAAGATGGGTGGTCTTCAACTCCCAGAATTCCCCAGCCAGCACGCTTTAAGATGGGTGGACTTCANCTTTAAGATGGGTGGACTTCCACTCCCAGAATTCCCCAGCCAGCATCCTTTAAGTGGGCCGGACAAGTCAAACCTGCCTATTGTGATGGCCTTAATCAGCACATAGGCCAATGTTTTCTGTAGCTGCCAGTTGAACCTGTTTCCCATCATGTAATTAAAGTCACGGGGCGGAATTACACGGAGGTTATGTGGGACCTTGTAAACTAGGAGTTGGATGAGGAGACGGGCTAAGCTCCTGGATCACATACAAGGTCATTTCTGGGGGTGGGTTTGCTTGAAAGACAGTCCCCCCCCCCTCGTCTGTGAAATGGCACCCTGAACATCTCAACCAACTCAGAGCTGGCTGGTGGCCAGTGAAATGTCATTTGAAGGCAGAAGAAGATCCGGATGATGCAACGGGAAACGGACTTTCTGCATTGAAACGGATCGCCCTTCGCTTGGGTTCAGAGGCCGAGGTTGTAACGGAGCAGATCCCCTGCTTTTAAGGTCTCCCATCCCACCCCGGGAGGTGTATATTTCGGGGAAGAGCGAGAATCCCTTCGGCGATTCCTTCTGTGGTCAATGAAGGTTTGTTTATTTGGGGGGGAAATGCCGGGTGTGGCTGGAGGTGGTTGTGTGTGCGGTGTCGATACCGAGTGGCGTCGGATCTCTTGCAGGCCGATGGGATCGGGCCTCTTTAAATGGCCAATGGATCCCCCTAGATCAGTGTTTCTCTCAACCTTGGCGACTTTAAGTCCCGTGGACTTCAACTCTCAGAATCCCCTAGCCAGCTGTGCTGGCTGGGGGATTCTGGGAGTTGAAGTCCACGGGACTTAAAGTCGCCAAGGTTGAGAGAAACACTGACCTAGATCAAGGGATCCAGCCTCTTTATAGGGTCATTTGGATCCCCCTAGATCCAAATGACTCCAAATGGGTCTAACCTCTTCTAAGTGAATCATGTGGTCGTTAAGCAAATCCTGTTTCCCCTGTTGACTTTGCTTATCGGAAGCCGTCGCCAGTGGGGATCACCGGATCCCAGAACAGGGCAATTGTGGTAAACCCACGCAGGTGGACAAGTGCTCCGATGTTGACCTTGCGACTGTGGGGAATGCTCTGGTGGTTGCAACTGCGAGGAGTGGTCATAAGTCCCTTTTTCCAGTGCTGTTGCAACTTCAGATGGTCACCTAATGAATGGGCGTAAGTCGGGGTCGACCCGTTCTTAAGCAGGGCTCCGTGAGCTCACCTGGATCCCTCTCAGAGGCGCTACTGATGAGGCAGGTGCCACCTAGGCGAAGTCCTCTACTTAACCACCACAGCCGAGCCCCAAATTTCCATTGCAATGCAAGGCAGTTAAGTGAGTTCCCCCCAAGTTTACCACCTTTCTGGCCACAGTTGTTATGGGAATCACTGCTGTTGTTAAGTGAATCATGCAGTCATTCGGCACTTCCCCCTTTGACTTTTGAGTGTTGAAGTCCATCAATGCTGCCTAAGGAATTCTGGGAGTNTCCAGCCAGCATGCTTTAAGATGGGTGGACTTCCACTCCCAGAATTCCCCAGCCGGCATGCTTTAAGATAATATGACTTCCACTCCCAGAATTCCTCAGCCGGCATGTTTTAAGATGGGTGGACTTCAATTCCCAGAATTCCCCAGCCAGCACCCTTTAAGATGGGTGGACTTCCACTCCCAGAATTCCCCAGCCAGCATCCTTTAAGATGGGTGGTCTTCAACTCCCAGAATTCCCCAGCCAGCACGCTTTAAGATGGGTGGACTTCAACTCCCAGAATTCCCCAGCCAGTATGCTTTAAGATGGGTGGACTTCCACTCCCAGAATTCCCCATCCTTTAAGAGGGCTGGATTTCAACTCCCAGAATCCTTCAACCGCAATATAATCTCTGAGGAATTCTGGGAATTGAAGTCCCTAAATCTCATCCTACTCAAAGCAACACCCCGTCAGGAGGAAGTCCACCTAAGGAAGTGAGTCAGGTGGAGTAATTTGGCCGGGCATAGTTGTAACCTCAACAAACCAGGTTTGCTGCTTGGGTAGAAACCTGCCAAGCCAGAAAGAGAGAAAGTGACTCATCCGAGACCAGCGTGAGGAGGCCGTTGTAGAGAGGCTGGTGGAGGAAGGCCTGAATTTCTAATTTGCAGCTCCTAGAACACGCAAAAGAACAGGCACCAAACACACCTCGGAGTAATAATGCAAATGTTATGGCTCAATTATAATCATTGGATCATTTGGTAGCCAGGCCCTCATTTAGCTTCAAGGGAAGAGCACCGAGAAACGAATTCGGAAGGGCAGCATCTGAAAATACAGGTGGTCCTCGACTTACAACCACAGTGGCGGCCAAAATTTCCATTGCTAAGGGAGACAGTAGTTAAACGAGTTTTGCCCCATGTTACGTCCCTCCTTGCTGCAGTTGTTAAGTGAATCGCTACAGGTGTTCAGTTAGGAAGACAGTCGTTAAGTGAATCTGGCTTCCCTACGGCCAGAAGGTCGCAAAAGGGGGATCACGTGACTCCAGGACACTGCGATGGTCATGAATATGAGTCAGTGGCCAAGGGTCCGAATTTCGATCAGGTGAGGGTGGAGATGCTGCAAGTGTGAAAAGCGATTGTACGTTTTTTTCCAGTGCCGTCGTAACTTTATGCTCACTCAAAAGGTGCACAAATTATTTTATTCGTGTCGTTAAGGTGAGAATTTATCTGCTGAAACAAAACTCAGCACTGGTGACAGGAAGGGCATCTGGCCATTCAAACAATCTGCTGGCTCCATTCAGTCGCCCAGACTCCACCCCGCAAGGGATTACGGGGTCGTTCAATGAAGAGGATGACGTTAAGGGTTTCTCACACAGTCAGCCAGATGTTCAGGCTGGGTTTGGTGTTTTGGTCGCCTCATCCAGTCCTTCCCAAGACAGATGTTGTTAATGGTGGTGATGTTGAAGATCTGTGTGGCAGGCTGTAAGTCGTTCTGAGTCGAGCTGCCTTTTGCAATTGACCGATGGGGATTTTGTCAATGCCCGATTGTCAGTACCTGATTGAGGCTCCAGATGTTTGGGGGATTTGTCAATGCCCGATTGAGGCTCCAGATGTTTGGGGTATTGCCCCCAAAGTGCCTATCGCTCTTGGTTCCACCTTTGCTTTCTTATGTGACCGTCGATCTATTTGCCGATCTTTGCTTTTCCGTTAGATTCCCCAGTACTTTCTCTTACCACTCTGCCGCAGTGGTGGGTTGCTCTTACCATCGCTAGACTGATCATGCTCTGTCTATGCACGCCCCTGCAACACCCAGCTGCTTGTCAGGGCGCATGCACAGGCACCACAGTGTGCCTTTTGGCGTAAAAACAGCCTATAGAGCACGGGCGGCTGGGCGGCCCAAACGAGCCACCGTACCAGTATGCTCTCAACTGCTCCCGGCCACTACCGGTACGGTCGTACCGGCCCGTACCGCAACCCACCATTGCTCTGTCATCTCCAGGGTCTGTCCCATTAGTATTTTATCATTCGTCACAAGAGTCAACCAGATGTTCCAACGGGACTTGGCATTTTTGTCCTTCCCAAGGACTCGGCGTAGGCAGATGTGAACGTTGGATAATATTAAAGATATGGTCTACAACCTGTTCCGCGTAAAGACGCCTTTCGCAATTGACTGATGGGGATTTTGTCAATGCCGAGGGTCGTTCGAGAGACTCTCCGGTTATTAGAATGGAGAAGAGCCGCGTGGTGGCGCAGTGGTTAGAATGCAGGATTGCAGGCTAATTCTCTGGATTGCCGGCAGTTCAATCCTCACCGGCTCAAGGTTGACTCAGCCTTCCGTCCTTCCGAGGTCAGTAAAAGGAGGACCCAGACTGTTGGGGGCAAGAGGCGGACTCTGTAAACCGCTTAGAGGGGGCTGGAAAGCACTGTGAAGCGGTATATAAGTCTAAGTGCTATTGCTATATTGTCCTTGGTTTGGAGGTTTTGAATGGCTACTGCCATCTCTCTCTCTCCCTCCCTCCCTTCCTTCCTTCATTTCTTCCTTCCTTCCTTCCATCAATCAATTTCTTTTTCTTTCTTTCTTCCTTTCTTTCTTCCTTTCTTTCTTCCTTTCTTTCTTCCTTCCTTCCTTCCTTCCTTTCTTTCTTCCTTTCTTCCTTCCTTCTCTTTCGTTCTTCTCTTTCTTCCTCAATTTCTTACTTTGACAGAGTAAGTCCTTCTTTCCTGTGTCTGTCTTTCTTTCTCTTTCTTTCCTCCATCCCTCCTTCTCCCCTTCCTTCCTTCCTTTTCCTTCTTCCCTTCCCCTCCCTCAATTTCTTTCTTTCTTTTCCTCCCTTCCTCCTCCCTTCCTTCCAGCTACCTTCCTACCTTCTTTCTTCCTTCACTTGCTCCCGTTCCCCTCCCTCAAATTAATTAATTCTTTCTTTCTTCCTTCCTCTCTTCCTTCCTTCCTTCCTTCTCTTTCGTCCTTCTCTTTCTTCCCTTCCTCAATTTCTTACTGTCTCTCTGTCAGTCTTCCTTCCATCCTCTGTCTATCTGTCTTCTTTCTTTCTTTCCTCCATCCCTCCTTCTCCCCTTCCTTCCTTCTCTTTCTTCCCTTCCCCCCTCCCTCAATTTCTTTCTTTCTTTTCCTCCCTCCCTTCTTCCTCCCTTCCTTCCAGCTAACTTCCTACCTTCTTTCTTCCTTCGCTTGCTCCCGTTCCCCTCCCTCAAGTTCTTTCTTTCTTTCTTTCTTTCTTTCTTTCTTTCTTTCTTTCTTTCTTTCTTTCTTTCTTTCTTTCTTTCTTTCT